GGCACGTCCACAAAAAACGCTTTATAGATCAATTGAGCAAAAAGATAGAAGGTTTATGTCTTCAGCAAAGTTGTTTGTATTTACATAATGTACAACTTTGCTCAATACACAAACCTTCTATCTCAACTTTATAAAAAAAAATGAGTGTTGGATCCCACTTTTAGGGGGATTGATCACAAAATAGCTGCCATCAAAAGATGGCGCCAATTATGCCTTAAAACTTCTCTGAAGACACTATATACCTAAAGTCAAAGGATTTTGCGTAATCTCACACGATCACGTTTTTCGCCGTTTGGAGCACTGTGCACTGTTTTCTCCATTTCAAGCTGAACATTGCATTAGGTCCTAAGTAACATTGATCGATTCTCTTTCTCGACTTTCTCTTTCGTTAATAACTTGAGCACATAACCGATTCTTGTTGTGTTTGTCCTATTAGATGCTAGATACAAGCTTCTACACTGAAAATGTATTTTCGTTATTTCTCTGAAAACCGTTTCGTAAAAATGAATATCGTACATACAACACATCTTTCATAAATGGTACGAAACATTCGTTTTTCCTGTCATCTGGCGCAATGTAAATATTACACCTTATTCGTATAATATACAAATACATCTTCGTACAATCAAACCAACAACTGCGCTTATTGTCTCCTAAAGTGCTGATTGTGTGTTGGTGATGGGACATTTTTTTTAGAAATATTGTCGGTTTGACCAATACATGCGAGCAACAACAATAAATCAAATTACTCGTCGCGGTGGTTTTATGTTAGAGAAAAAAAAATACCACTTCTTAATTGAGCAGTTAATAATTGAGAGCTTTCTATGCCAACTTATGCATGAATTTGTACATTATGCGGCGAGCCCAATGCTACTTTCTAACCAGAAGATGTTTTAGACCGAACACAGAATCGAACCCTTTGCCTCCATCTTGGTAATACCGTAACTTTACTGTCTGGGCTATCTGAGGGTACATTATCATATATCACTGGTGTCTTGAGGCATAAAATCTCTGATCACGCTTTCCTTTGGAATAGATCCTCGGTCCATGAGTTCATGGATCGATAGGTAGGGTTCAGGAGCTGCCTCCCTGGTGTCAGCAGCAATGGTACTCAGTACAGAAAATAAGATCGATGGAAAGCAAATCAAGGAAAAAAATGTTAAAGTAGTGATAAACAAAAACGACAAACAGCTGCTAAAATGAACAAAAACCTCACCACCTTTCCGAAGACGAGTTATCCACTGATCTGCAGGGATTATTTAAATATAAACGATGGATGCAGTTCATTCAAAAATGAGCTTTCACTCTATGGGTTTATTGGAAGCTACATAAATTGCATTGCATAAAGACATTTATTTTGCGATCTAGTTAGTTAGTTTTTCACAGGATCCTGGATCCCTAGAGTTTCTGGAATTTCGAAAAATAACACGTAACAGTATCAGAGTGTGATCTAACGTTGGTGCAAGGAAAATACGGAAAAGTAAAGCGAGTCATTAGTGAAATTCCCTGTAGAGTAAGGCATCGACATTTACACAGGTTTGTGAGGTGTATATATGAACGTGGAGAAGGAGATTTTATCCTCGCATAATTTCCTCAATCGGAATATATTATTTTCGGGGTATAAGAGTAATTGCTTCCTATGTATGGTGACGAGCCACCAGATGAATTCCGGTCCCAAGTGAAAGGCTCTTAAACAGCAGCAGCAGCAGCTATAAATGCAACCGGAAAAAAGCAGGATGAAGAAAAACAGTACCATAATGGCAGCACTTCATTCGCTGGAAACAGAGAAAGCAATAGAAGTGATGAAAATCGACGTGGCGACCCCGGTGACCAAAAACTAAACCGACCTGGTGCCAGTGCTAGCGAGTGTGGCAGTTCTAACGAAACTAGCTTCATACAATGTACAAATCTATTTCGTTGCAGAAAACAACGAATAAATTCGTAGAACAAACGAGCGATTTCGTTGTATAAACGAAATTTTATTTTCTGTGTATTATTGATGCTGTCAATACCTGTGAATGTCTTTACATGGCCGTGGTGATACAAGGAGAAAGTTGACGAAGAGAATCTGTCAATGTTTCTTAGGACCTAATGCAATGTTCAGCTTGATTTTTTTTCATTCTGCATGCTTTCTTTCGAAAGGCCTCCTTGAAATTTTCAGGGAATGTAATAGAATATATATATAAGTTTGGTTTACGTATCTGTATTTCACTCTATTTCGTCACTAAACCCAAATACCCGATAAGGTTTTGAACAACGGTTGAATCAACATTTTTTTCTGCTTTCAACCATGATTTATTTTCAACATTTCCTGCTCCGTAGTGACAACTCTTGGATGCTTACGGAGTTCATGCTCCATTATAGCCCAGTATCTTTCGATCGGCCGCAACTCCGGTGTGTTTGGGAGATTGAGAATCCCCCCGCATTAAATTGACCCCATTCGTCTGGTAGCACTCCAGAACGTCCTTGGAGTAGTGACAAGAGGCTAGATCGGGCCAAATCACCTGCTAAATCATGAATTTCTGTGGGAACTTCGACATTTGCTGCTTCCTGATGGACTTTAAATCTTCGAAATTGCCTTTCGCAGTCACATACTGGTTTCTCGGATTGTTTTTTTTTCATAATGGCCCATCACTAGCCCCGCACCAAAAAGCTCTTTTGAGCCCCCTGGTAGTGGACTCATCTAATACTAAAAGCACTCAAAAAATTCCACACGTTTGATCGAAGTGTTTAAACACTTGATTTTTTAAATGCACAATCACATTTACCTTAAGTGTATTTCACATTGGTTCAATGTGTTATATACGTTAATTTATAGTGTATCAAATTTTGAAATGTTGAAAATCTTTCACTATCTATACAAATGTATTGTACATTGAATCACACCACTGTTCAAAAAAGATGGATTTAAAGTGTTTTGCATTTCAATGCGCTGTGAATTGCTTGCTCAGAAAGGTAAACATCGAAAACAAGACTTGTGACTTTATCCTATCAATCCCCTCATATATGAGAACAACGGTGGCACAGTGGAATTTTTCCCCCGTTTTCCAGGGATGTCCATAGAATCTTGAAAGAAGTCTCAGTACTGCTGGGGGATTTTGATACGTATTAACCCTAAATATGCTATCAGATCTGGACCGATGTATGATTGGCTTAGCGCAATAGTATAGGATTTATAGGAACGGAACAATGCAGTCAGAAATGCAATTACATTCTATTCCACGAGTTCAACCAAGCACATTCCCGATTCCTTCATTTAGCAGATGCATTTCTGTTATCATCCTTCTATTGAAATTTCATCACAAGAGGCTCCGGTGCGATAGGTGGCCTACCGATCTGCCAACTGTAAGGCCTTGCTGAATTTCGAAAATTTGATTCGCGGTAGAGTGAGTTTCAATTGACTCCGCGATTTCCGCTTGACGACCCTAAGCAATGTAAGAGCCCATGGTCATGCAGACCTTACTACAACCGCAGGGTTTTTCAATAATTTAATTGCTTTATTAGCGAGATTTACAACTAGCTACAACTTACAATTTAAATTTGGCTCACTACTTGACTAGCCTATTGCTCTCCAGCAAATTGTTCAACGTACCCCATTCTAGTCTAAATTCTAGTACAGCACTATGTTTGTTTTGATTCGCTATGAAAGTTTGACAGACAAAATGAGGGGTTCGTATGTTTCGAGGGGTGCATCGATTAGCTTGGGACCGAAGAGAGTACCAGAGCTGCGAATGAGATCATATCTGAATCACACTTTAAATGTATGAATATATGTAGTCTGGACCATCAACCATCAACATCAACACTAGATTTATGACCAAATTATGGACAAGCAGTAATAATTGTACAACTGGGAGCCTCACAGATTTCCGGAATCGAATCCAGCTTAGTACTCGACGCGTTGATTACATATCCGTAGTTCATATTTCCGTCCCTTTGAGTTCTTTGTTTGCTTTAGTTGGAGAGGATTCCAAAGGAAGCTGGTGAAAATTTCTACCACCATCTTCCACCTTCATTTCTACACACCCGCAAAGAATCAGTTATTCAAAGGGACATCGAGTCAGAATTTGCTTCAACATAGGTTTGATGACTTCCAGTTTCTCTTTCACCTCCAACTCCGAAAATGAAAATTTAATCACAACCACAAATGCCATTATATGAAGTTCAATAAAAAAATTCTGCACTTCTACGAAGTTTACTGTAAGTCAACGATGTTCACTGAGCTTCCACAAAGTTCGCTGAACTTTTACTAAGTTTACTGAAATCCTATAAAATTTGCTGCACTTCTAGAAAGTTCTCTGAAACCAAATGATAAACTTCTACGAATTACTTGACTTTTAAAATAGTCCCTGAACTTCTGTTAAGCCTGGCCTTGGAATCAACCGGTGGGTCGCGACCCGTTGATTGAGAAACGCTGCTGTAGCAGAATGAATCCCACCTGTACCGGTTACCTGCTTGAAATTCCATTCAAGAGGGAGCACAAGACGATAAAATACATATTTGCCGTAGCAAAATGTTGCCATCATACACTCTTTTTGATCTATCTAGTTAAAATCGTTTGCCGTGTCGTTTCGAGAAAGAAGATTCCTTTACATTTGGAGTATCTATTCAGCAACCCCTTGTACTTCCACCGAACTATGGTGGGAGTCTGTGAGATCCCTTTATCTACATGTCGAGCAAACACGTCTTCGGTAGTGTAGGTACCTACCAGTCAAATTGTTTTCCGAATATTTGAACGAGAGTTGGAATGCCTGAATATTGTATACATGCTATGCTTTGGGAAATTTATTCTGATGGAGAAACGTTGTCGTTTGCCTTTTGCCGTCTTCTTTACCAAAAAAAAAATGCGATTTATCACACGAAGAAAAGCGGATCATTTTCTTCGGTACAGGAATTCCGCCCTTGGTTGTTGTTCACAGATCAATACCTTTCGCATTTTCAAAGCAATCATTTAGGAATGTTCAATAAATACCTACAGAGGGATAAAAAGGTCCACTTACCCGCCGCCCGTGGTTCCTCCATGTAGAAGACAACGTCCCCATCCGATTCACTTTTGGACAGGTTCGAATCGGCCGCCGGTGTGACCGGCGTATTGAGAGTATTCTCGCTTCCTATCAGCGCTGCTGCTGCTGGTCCCGCACTAGAACCTGGTCCCGGAGTTCCCACCGTTGCAGCGGTCGTAGCCGACGGTGGCCCAACCGTACCGGAGCCGGCATTGGCGGAAGTCAACGCTGCCGTCGCTGAGGCGTTCTTCATTCCAGGTGCTTCCATCCGGTTTCGGGACTTTCGCCGTTTCAGAACCGATGCGCCGCGTCTCGCCACCTGTACCATTAGGGTCTGAACCCGAATGTTTCAAAAAACAACAACAAACAACAAACATTGATACACATCTAGGGCGGGTACGACACGCAGGCCAAATGGGGGGGAAGTGGGGGCGTCCCCTGTGTGGGTGTGTATGTGCGTATGTGCGATTTGCATAGGCGAGGAAGTAGGAAACGAGTGGAGAGTTTGGAAAAAGAGTGGCTGAAGCTAAAGTCGAAGAAGATATTTGATTGAAGGAAGTGAAATATTGGGGGAAACGTTGGTCTCAAATTTCCATTAATTGTAAAATAACCTAAGGAATATAATTTTATATTTGGTTAATTCCCTGAAAGTAACTGGCATCGGAATCAATTTTTCAAATATCATGATAGATTGACAAAAACGGTAGCCCATAGATTTAGGCCATGCGACGTCTAGTTTTCAGATTTGCAATTACAAAACTGATGATGTACTAAAAAATATTCCATACGATTTGACTGGTAGCAGAACGTCATTATCATGTTTCACATCATTTCCATCTGCTGGTCGACCGTCACGTAAATTCATCAATCGTGACGAAGTTTTCAGCACTGAAAGAGGAAACATTTCAAAGCAAACTGCTGTCAAAACATTCCAGATCTGACCGCTAGGAACACTGCAGGAAAATAAACAGTGTGTCCAGATATTAAATGACTCAAGCTTTAGAGAAAGGTCTGAAGAGGGTAGATTGATAGTTCCGTTAGAGTACGGCAGTATGAAAACTCCATAGAAGTTGAAAATGAGCGAAGGGCCATTAGGTAGAGATGAAATGTCGCTAGAACTATCCCACAGCCGTAGACAGTATATGAGGAAGTCAAACGCGCACTTTTTTGTCTGTAAATTTGAAAAAAAAAACTACTTCAAGTCTGCTTATCCATTAATGTATGAGTTAGGAAAAGAAGTGTGCGTTTGACTAGTACTATCGCATTAATGGTCCTTCGCGTATTTTAAACTTCTATTCAATTTTCATACTGACGCACTCTAAAGCTGGGTTTAGACAGGGCAAGTCAATTGATCAATTCAGTTGAATTCAATTGGCTTGAAAAGTTGAACCTGGTTCAACTTTTTTCAATTCAAGTGAGTTGATCAAGTCAATTGAATGGCATGGTTTACACGTTCAATTTGCGTTCAAGTCAGTTGAATTCAACTGACTTGATCAATTGACTTGCCCTGTTTAAACCCAGCTTAACGGAACTAACAATCTACTATCTTCAGACCTTTCTCTAGCTAATAAATTATCACACTTTTGATCATTTGCGGAATATCAGAAAATTTAGAAAAAATCAGGAAAGATTCAAACGCTCAGGGAAGTCCAAAAAAGTTCAGGGAGAATGGGGCCGTGCATAAATTTTGGAGCAAAGCAATTTTTGACAATGTTTCCATAACAATAAAAAATATCCATTTGTATTGTCCATATGGCTCATTGTCCTACGAAAAAATTAAGAATGGGAAATTTTTATCGATGGGCAGAATCTTTAGAGCCATAGGCCAACGTTAGAGCCATTCACCCTGCAAGATGAAATCAAAGAATTTTTTACAGTACTTGAAACCAACGCTTTTATTTAATGTGCTGTAAATGAAATCGTACCGAAACCACAATTGCGCAGACCGTTGAAACTGATAACTCCAGCCGGAGTTCAGAGAAACAACTTTCATCACCTTTAAAAATATTGCATACATGCACTAACCACCATACAAAAATCCTTCAACTTTCAGACTACGAGAACCTTCCTATGTATACAATTTAACTAATAAGCAGTCAACAAGCAAGCAAACATCTACTAAATCCATTCCAGGGTTTGTAATCAAGCCAAGTAACACACTGAAGCTCTAACACTGGTGCTGAGCTGTGGAGTCCAGGAGGCAGGAAGGGAGCTGGCGCTGATGGATGAGGAAACTTTATCGACAGGGAAGATTATCCCTCTTATTTCTGCTGGATGAGTGGTTTGTTGAGATGGAAATTTTTTACGAAGGATTAGGGATGACTTTTAAATTAATTGAATTGAATTGGGCTATTGTTTTTCCTCTTGCACTCAGTGCATTGATGAAAGAAAGATTCAATGATATTAACAGAAAATACTTCTTTTAAAATCACAACCGGTGTAGAACCACACTAGCTACTTGCAATTTAGATTGAGCAAATTTCACCTGTGCTTGTGCTTGTGAAGTATGACAAACTGCCGTGATACGATGTTCGTATATGGGACAGATGTATATACTCATCCATATCTATCAGTTCATCAGATAAAGTTACTCTGCTCTAGTCTATTACGGTCGATACAGCTAACGGTAGCACGGTAGCATCAGCATCAGCATCAGCAGCATCAACTTATCCGAAACTTATGGATGCGGTGCTCTCACCTCGAGTGTCAACTAATAAATACATCCAGCTCAACCGTGCATGGCAGTCAGTGCTTGGATCATAGGCTTAGCCAGGGGATGCCACTGCCTTCCCACCTAATCTCGGCAAATTTTTTTTTTAATTTGAGATTGTTGCAAAATTGTAAAGCTCTATGTTCAAATTTTCTAAGTCTCTTAATTGATTTCAAGCAAATTGCAGAAACATAAAGCTTTTCTAAGGTCATTAACGTTATTGGGCTGTTTGGTCATGAGACCTAATTGTTGGATCCACATTGGACCATTTTGACTTATGGAAATTTTCAAGACTCCAAGACTTGGATTTTAAACAGACTTGGCCAAAATAGGCAGAATACAATGTTCGATTTTGATGTTTATAAAGGTGTTTTTGTAGTTTATTGTCTATATTCAACTGAAAAATGGGATCATAATAAACTGTGTCTCCACAGTTGACCGTTTCAGGAAAGCAAATCAGAAGCCGTTCAAAAAATGAAATCATGAAACAAATACAACTTGTGTTTATATGATTGTTATACTTATATGATTATGAAACTTCAAGAGTAATAAATTTAAACTCAATAGAGCCTGCCTATAGCGTAAAGTATAAAGGTAATTTTCATAACATTGACTGTCGTCATTGCTGCCGTAGTTTTCGATGGTGTGCCTGAAAGTACTAATTGTGATCTTACAACATATTCGTCGACAGATTGCTAAAAGTTTCCAATTATCGAAAACAATCAGTTGGAAAATTTTAATTTTAATAGCAAGTTATCAATATTTTTAGCAACTTTTCAAACCAAATACTATTCAGTCTTTAATAACACGAGAAAAGCAAAAATAATTTAATCCTAGCAAATTGATAAATGATTGCCTAATTTAATATTTTTTATCAAGAAATATAAAAACAGTCAGGTGCAAATTTCTTCCAATGTAAATGAAAAATTACAGCTGCCTTTACTCAAATATTGGTTTTTTTTTGCTATTCCATAAAAGTAAATTTTTCATCTGGAACTATACAGATTCACAAACTGGACTCCGTTGTCATTGTACCATTGTTGTACTTCCCGGCTGTAGTGACAACTAGCAAGATCTTTCCAAAAGGTCACTGGACCATCATGGATGAAGGGCAGAATTAGCTTCTGAAGACATTCGGTTTTGTAGACCTCCGAGGTCACCATTTTTGCAGTTACGAAAACCTTTGTCTTCGAGCCGCAGCTGCAAATTTCTTGCCAGATCATATATTTGCGTGCAAATTTATCCGCAACACCAAATTTGAATCTGCCAGGGACACCTCCTCGAGGCTTCGCCTTGTAAAATTTTGCGTGCGGAAGCTGTCGGAAGTCGGCTTTTGCATAGGTTTTACCATCCATAAGTATGCACCCATCGGATTTGGTCAGCAGGTTGTCAAACAGCTTCCGATTATGGGTTCTAGCTACGGTATTCTGCTTGAGTGATCGACTTGGTTGCCTACTGGCGCGGTATGCTGTAAGCATTCGAGGTAGCCTGGGTTGCTTCTGATGGACCTCACGACCTTTCCATGGAGCTGACGGATGGTAGTTCCACTCTGGCGTTTACTTTGAGGCTTACGATTCATCACCCTGTTCATTTTGAGCATGCGCCATACGGTTTTCCTAGAAAAATTCAACACTTTAGCCAGCTTGGACCACGATGCATTTTCCAGGTGATTGTGCACGATTTTTTTTTCTATGCTCCTCTTGCATGGTTACTGTCTCCAAAACAAGAGCGTTTTATAAACTGAAAAAAATATAATGTTACTGTTATTGTTGTTGTCGTCAACAAATAGACGTTGTAGATAGTGTTGGGTATGGAAAAATAATAACAATTAACATAATAACAATAAATATTGAATATATCAAAACTCGAAAGCTGAGCGTTGAGTAACGTCATACTCAATTTGAGAAGAATTAAGTTGGTGTGGAGCGAGGGGGGCGACACATCTAAATCTCAATTCTAGATGCTCAAAAAATCTCACTACTAGCGAATAAATCTTCGAAAAATCTTCTTTCATTTCTCGCATCTACTTGCATCGCGCATCATCTTTTTGTAGGAAATCTTCAAAATCCTGATAAATCTTCTTTCTATCTACTCAGCGTACGCGCAGCTAACCACAGCAAAACACAATATTTCCTGCATCGTAGATAGAGTCGCCTCCCTCGGTGTGGAGCAATAATACGATGATTTAAATAAAGGCTTGTGTGTGTCGCCTTCTGCATGATTGGACTAGTCATTTGACTAGTCTTGTAGCGCACGGTTGTGCGCTTGTTTTCCGGATGGTCTTTGTTGCGACAAATGGCCGAGACTTGCAACCTCGGTCAGGTAACGACAAAAAGCTTCCGAAAACGTCCACTCGGAGCGCTGTAATAAGCAAAAGAGTTTATCACATTTCTAAGTGGGCCATGGTTTAGTTCCCAAATAATGCAAGGGCAAATTCCAAGGTTCTTCTAAAAATAATTACAAGAGAGTTCTGATGAGAGCTCTAAGGGTATTCTGAAATGAATACCAATGGAATCGAATTTTGAGTGTACAATATCAATAAAATATGGAGTGGATTTTTTGAGAATTCTAAGGATAATCCCAAGCGCATTTCGAGAAGAATATAGAAAAGTGTGAGAAGAATT